CCCGCAGTTCCATCTTCAAGATCTCGAAACGAGCCGCAGCGAACAACATCAGCAAAGCGCAAAGCATGTTGATGCACACGTGCGCGGAGCATTGATAAAAAAAGAACCATTGATGGAGGAATACGATGCTCTTAAGGGGTTGATAATCAACGTGAAACGGGTATTCAGCGTTCGTTGGAAAAGGCTGAGGTATGAAGAACGTTCCAATCGCTATGATGGACGCTGTCAGGTAGAACCATATCGTAGACACCGTATAGAACAGGGAGTATTTAGCAATGTATGTTTGATAAACCTGACTTTCGTATGGCTTTGCTTCCTTGCAATATTTGTTCATTTCAACGATCAGCTCCTGTAATTAAAACATTTTAAATTAGCCCATTTGATAGATAAAAGAGAGAGAAGTCTTACCCAAAAACGATCATATTGTACGATACAGACGAACGTGTTCAAGAGCACCTGCGAAACAGAAATGATTGTGCAAATGGATTTTGAGAAACCAACGTGATCGTTATGGTTAAGGTATAAAGAATAGATTAACGGAGGCAATAGAAGGAACGCGTTGAGCATCACCGCGGATCTGGAGATTCTGAAGCGGATCAACTGAAAACTGGTCGCATTCGAGGAAAGTGGCCAGCAACATGTCAATGCCACGCTGTATCGCGTGAACGCGATTGCTTTCTCCGGCGTTATATTTTTCAACATAATTCAATTTGTGAGGATACACTTAACTGTTATCGAGTACGATTTCCACTCGAATGATGCGCGTAAAGGTTCAATCGAAAAGAGAACATAAATGTTTCACGCAACAATTGAGTAATCGTTCGTTTCTTTTACATAATGATACCTTATGGTTGTTGTGGCTGTAATGATACCTTTAAGATTCCTTCGATCTGACAAATAATTGTCATCCTGGGGCTCGAAATGTAGCACGATAGGCGTTACACACCGGTATGGGAAATCTAGCACATGTTGCAGGGTACAAAATGTTGCATGCTTGTAAGTCATATTCGATCATTTTCTTTCTTACTGACCGATTGGAGCTGATAAAAATATATCCTCACCATTAAAGTCCATTTATCTTGAAAATACTGTTTCAATTACTTACTTGAATCTCACCGCTTTGCATCACCGTAAACAGAGCTACAAATTGCATAGCATTAACTACTTCGTTCGTGTACCGAACACAACATAATTCTTTATATTCTAAGCATTAAACACATATGGTCACATCTGTCCACACCTTTTCAGGATGTAGTGTGTGTTATTTTAATTCATTATTTTCCTTTTAGAACAAAAACCGTTGCTAAGTCGTTCGAAGTGCTAATTCGTCACTTTCTAAATTCCAAAGCAACTGCCACTCGTTCAACTCAACTATACATGGATGGAATACAATTATTGTTCTCAGGTAACACAATTCATTCAAAAAATTAAGTGTGAACTAATACGTCATTTAATTCAAAATTTTTCTTTTTCACGTTCAATTACGTTCATAACAGGACATTCGAGGAACAGAAGAGAACAAATTTGTTGATAAAAGTTATATAAAAAGAAAACTTTGTCAATTGTCGCTATCGCCACTTTTCTTTCTTTTTCATTCGCTAACCTTCTACGAGTCCAAAACATAATATCGTCAATTGAACGCATATTTTTCATTAAAATAATTTCCTAATTGAGAAGGAGCTCGTTAACACGTCTAACGTCGTTTCATAATAATACACAAGATCTGAAGAAGTCAACTTATTTCGTTAATATTTCCAAAATCTTTATTACAGAAATTGAATTATAGTTAATACTACTTTAAATATCATTAGCCGTATGCTTTCAATCATTATATATCATCTTCTTGTATCGTAGCTCGTAAAACGGTGAATAGAGATAACACGTTCGAAACGAACTGCAAATATAGAAAATCGTTTATTAATCTGTTTCGTAATTTTCATTTTTTATTCATAAGAAATATTTCATACCGAGCAGTAGTAATTCAGTGACAATGTTGGGATAATATACACGATCTTAATGCCCACTGGTGCTTGAGGTAACAACATGATCAGCATGTCTTTCTGCATACTCGTTGATTGTAGATACCATTGTGATTCGTATATACCTCGCATAGAATTTTCGCTCTGGTAATAACAAATGAATATAATAAATATGTTGCTGGTCTTTTAGTTATTTTAAGGGAACAAGACGTCGATTACTGCCCGTGAAGTGCTGAACGTTTCTTCTCGTTCGTGTGCAAAATCATTGTGAACGAAAGTTAAGAGACTTGAGAAGAAATTAAATCGACTAAACTTTGCAATGATTATAATCGAACGAAAATTATGAAACTTTAAAAGAAATGAAACTGACTAATTGAAATACAAATTTTGGTTCACCAAGAATGCTGAACAAAAAGCGAGGAATATGCAAGGGCCACCGGTATATAAAACTCTTCATTTCTAAGGTAAACAATGGTTAGAGGCCCCATTGTAAATTAAATTTATATTTAAGATTAGTTAACGACCAGAATTATTGGTCTTCTGACTTTATTTCATTTCTTTTTGGCCGAGTGTTTGATGGCTTGGCAATGTCTTAGTATCCAGCTTTATAATCCTCGATAGTCCTTGAAAGGACTACTTTTCGATTTGAACATCATAAAGTTTGAATTCATCACAGTTAGATATCTCTTCAGATTTTTTTACGGTCTAGTTCACAATAAAGTTCTTTGATTTATTTTTACAACGTACTTTCTGTTTTTCATTATACAATCTGTTCAGAAAGAAAACGTGCGAACGGAACAAATATAATGAAACGAGTTAAAATGCAACTTACCAAATCCAACAGGTGATCAGCTGGCCAGGCGACCATGAAAACCTCGATCAGCCCAGTCCCAGATAACGCCATAAATTGTACTATCACAGTGGATGGCTGTCGCTATTGGTGAAAATAAATTTCGTCATGACAATATTCGAATAATTTTGAAACTACTATTGTCGCTACTTGCTTCAATGAAATTAACACCGCAGAACACAAGCTCCATGCCGCACATGATCACCGTAATCAAAGCTATAAACCGAGAAGCACTTGACACTTCCTTCGCGTATCTAAAATAACAATTATTTTCATCCAGAATCTCTGTTCTAATCGATTCGTCTTTTCGTACCTTCTCACAATGTGATGCTTTTTCACGCAATCGATCATTTCGTTGGAACTCTTCACTTCGCGCAGTTCCATCTTCAAGATCTCGAAACGAGCCGCGGCGAACCACATCAGCAAAGCGCAAAGCAAGTTGATGCACACGTGCGCGGCGCATTGAAGGAGAAAGAACCATTGATGAAGGAATATGATGGTCTTGAGGGGTTGATAATCAACGGGAAACGGGTATTCAGCGTTCGTTGGAAAAGGCTGGGGTATGAACAACGTCCCAATCGATATGGTAGACGGTGTCAGGTAGGACCATATCGTAAACACCGTATAGAACGTGGAGTATTTATCAACGTACGTTTGATACACTTGTCTCTCATACGGCTTTGCTTCCTTACAACACTTTTTCATTTCTACGATCAGCTCCTGTAATTAAATTATTTTAAATTAGCCTCATTGATAGACAAAACAGGGAGAAGTCTTACCCAAAAACGATCATATTGAACGATGCAGACGAACGTGTTCAAGAGCACCTGCACAGCAGCTATTAAAATGCATATGGCTTTGGAGAAACCGACGTGATCGTTATACACGTAGTTGATGTATGAGGAATATATTAACGGCAGGAAGAGGAGGAACGTGTTGAGAAGCACCGCGGATCTGGAGATTCTGATGCGGATCTGCTGAAAGCTGGGTGCATTCGAGGAAACTGGCCAGCAGCATGTCAATGCCACGCTGTATCGCGTGAACGCGATTGCTTTCTCCGGCGTTATATTTTTCAACATACTTTCATGTTTGAGGATACACCTAACCGTTTTCGAATACAATTTCCACTCGAATGATGCTTGCAAAGGTACATTCGAAAAGGGAAAATAAATATTAGAAGGAAGACACGAGCAATCGTTCGTTTCTATTAGAAAATGATACGTTATGGTTGTTGTAGCTGTAATGATAGCTTTAAGATTTCTTCGATCTGATGATTATTCTGGGGCTTGACAACTAGCACGGTAGACGTTGCATACTGGGATGGGAAGTCTAGCACATGTTGCAGAGTACAAAGTGTTGCATCCTTGTAAGGCATATTCAATTATTTTCTTTCTTCCTGAACGGCTTAAAATTTCTTATGATATTTCATCAATTCTTGACTATAATACGGTGTTATCGCTTCGATTATTTAACAGAGAAGATGGAGGATAATTCTTTGGATTATCGAGATATCATTTCATGTGCAATGTTTTCTCGAGTTTCAATAGGGGTTCATACGTTATAAGGTGTTATCGAATGATGGTTGCTGATTGTTGCCTCTGCTTAGCCGATTGCCAGCATCTTGACAGGAAATTTATTTACAGCTACTATAGCTTAGAAGTGTTTTTGTTCTGTGAGTAATATCTACGTCAATTGCAACACATAATCTTGCAAAAGTTTATTTATTACTAACAGCTTTTTTATTACACAATATGTTTCTTTCGAGTTATGTCATATAAAACACTATTGCAAGTGATCCTCATTGCTAGATTACGGAAGTTTATGCAATTACTATATGCAGAGAATATGCAGAATACATGCACATATGATGTATGCAAAGTATGTATATGCAGATACAATTGATGAATAAGCTTTTACGTAGGGACTAGAAAATTTGGATAATTTTATTTAATCAATATATTTAACATTACATGTGCATTATACAAACTGTTAACTTAATACACAAACACAAGGTAACTTAATAAACTATCTCATTAAACTTTATTAAACATTCTAATTAGAAAACTATTGTACTATATAAATACATATACATACATGTATTACTTTATATCCAAGTCTTACGTATAATTAAAACCACAGTTCCACAAAAATAAACTTCCGAAGTCTACTTGTTACACATCTTGAGAAATGGCAGCACGTAGAACGGAGAATAAAGAAAACACATTGGTGACAAACTGAAAGTATCAGAAATTATTAATAAACATCCTCGTCAGACTAATTTAGTATGCAAGAATTCTTTATACCGAGCAAAAGTAATCCAATGAAAGAGTTGGGACGATGCAAGGGATTCTAATGGCCACTGGTTTCTGTGGTAATAACATGATGCTCACTGCCTTTTGCACACTCGTTGACTGATCGTACCATCTCGATTCGTATATACCTTGCATAGCATTTTCACTCTATACGGTAAGGAAAAGAATTTTTAAATGCATAATTAAAATTTATATATAATTAAGAACAACTCACCATATCCAACAGATGATCAGCGGGACGCGCACACATGAAGACCTCCATCAACGCAGTCGCAATCACAAACAAATATTGGACTTTCACATTGAACGGTTGTGGCTGTTGAAAATAAATCCTGACGATTAAACTTATTTTGAAAATACTATTGCAATGACTTACTTGAATCAAAGTAATACCGCAAAATACAATTGCCACACCGCTCTGCATTACCGTGAACAGAGTTACGAACTGCATAGCTTTAACCACTTCGTTCGCGTACCTAAGACAACATAATTCTTTATATTCCAAGGATCAAACACGTATGGGCACATCTTTCCACACCTTTTCAGGATGTAATACTTCTTCACACAGTTTATCAATTCGTCGACATTTTTCACTTCGCGGAGTTCCATGTACAAGGTCTGAAAACGAGCCGCGGCAAAGAGTAACAGCAAAGCGCAAAGCACGTTAACGCACGCGCTTGAAACATATTCGAGTATCGTGACCGCTTGGAGGAGGAATATAAATGTTTTCAGGGGTTCGTAGTCGACAGGAAACGGGTAGACAGCGTTGGTCGGGAAGGGATCCGGGGTGACCAGAGTGGCCAGGACTGTAACCGTTCCCGTTACGTACACCCATATCGTCGACATCCCGTAGAACGTGGCGAACCTGTCGACGTACCATTGGAACACCAGATTTTCGCGAACGTTCGCGTTCTTGAGACATACTTCCATCGCTTCCATCAGCTCCTGCAAGGCGCGTCTTAATTGATTATTTCATTAATTTCAATCGTTTTCTTCGTTACCCTTAGACGATCGTGGTGAATGACGCAGATGATCGTGTTCGAGAATGTCTGGAACTCGCCCGTTAAAAAACAGATGGACTGGGAGACGTTTAAGGGATCATTGTAGGTAAATAGAGCGTTCACCAGAGGCGGAAAGAAACACAAGGCGTTAAGAAACACAAGGAATCTGAGGATCTTGTGACAGCTGACCTGTAATTTGCTCGCTTGCGAAGGAAGTGGTAAGAAACAGGAAATTGCCACGCTGATACGCGTAAATGCGATCGTTTTCTCCGGTGTTACGTTCTTGAACATATTAAATTAACTCTTCGAACCGGTGCGGTGGTTGGTAATTGGTTAAGTTTCGTAAAGATGGATCGTACGCGTAGTACTGTTATGTGCATCCATCGTCTTGAAATGGTTAACAATTTTCAAGTAAACGAATGAGACTGAAATGAATTCAGAATTGCTACAGGAAACTAATGCAAATGTTGTAAATCGACGTTACGCAAACCTTTCCTTCTAATAAAAAATAATACACCCCTTTATTATTTAGCCTTAATGATAGCTTCAAAGTATTCTCTTCGTTCCTCGCCAGGTTAGTAAGAAAACAAACATGACAGGTGTTATATACTGGCATGGGAAGTCTGACATATGTATGTAACAGGTTGCAAATTGTTGTATATCCGTTTTAGAAGAATTTCAAGTGCGGGTAATCAAGAAAGCATAATATTTTCTATCCTTCCTAACGTTTAATCAATTTCAACGGCAGTGCTATTCGAATGAATCAGTTTAGTAGTGTTCTTCCACTGTGTACTACAAGTTCTTTCTGAGAAACCTTTTTGTTGCACAATATCATAGCACAACACTCGTTATTTCGTATAGTATTCCAAATGATTTCGATCGACGTTCATTTTTCAACAATGATTCTCAGTGCGGCAAAATAGGAGGTGGATTTGTACAAATACTAGAAAATAGAAGAAGATAATTATTTTTCTCTTTATATGTTCATAGTAAAAATATGTAGACCAATTCACCTTTGCGTAGTAAAGCAATGATAACCTTGGCACGATACCATTGATACGAATAATTTCCAGCTTCTGAGACCTCCGAATGATGAAGTATATCTTCCTCTGCATCGCCAAGTCACTTTCGAACCAATTAGTATTGTAGGCATCTGTAGCAATTCTTGCACTCTGCGATGCAGGGGATCGAGTTTATTTAAATAGTAGATTCTTCAATTTTTTAAATCATTTTTATTACCATACGCATCAGATTGTCAGCGGGCCAAGCGTACATGAAGAGCTCCACGCTGGCGCTAAATACTATCATCGCGTAAAGAATTTTCAATGGCAGCGGCTGGTCCTATTCTCAACAAAAATTTGGAAATCTTTTAATCTCTATTTCCCATGGAAAAAATTATACAGAGGAAAATGCAAGGTAGATCCAAAGGAAATAATTTTATAATTATTTCACTCACAGTGACCAAATTTAAACTGCCAAATATCACGGCTATGATTGTCGTCGCGACTGTCGCCAGTACCAAAAATCTGATGCTCTCGCACACTTTTCTCGTATACCTAAAATCCAGCACATTATTAATAAATTATAGTCAAGAATAGAGAATTATGAAAATAATTTGTCGACTACCTAAGAAGCTCACTGTGCTCTTTTATGCAGGCGTTCAACTCACGGCCAGACTTGGCGGCGTGCAACTGCATCCCGAGAAGCTCGAACCTCGCAGCCGCGTATCGCAAGAGAAGAGCTACCTGAGTATCGGTGGCCATACCGGAGGACACCTGAAAGCCAACCAACGATTGATGGAGAAATATGAAGCATTTCAGTGGCTGACGTTCCACCGAGAATGGATATATCGCGTGCGTCGGGAAGGTCTGCGGTGAGTACAATGGGCCACTTATGACGAACACCGTGGTGAGAAAGCACCACAGCGTGTAAACGCCGTGGATGTATTTGTATCTGTCCACGTAACGTTGGAGAACGATTCTTTCAGACGGCGTGGCACGTTTGCAGAATTCCTCCATGTCGAAGTACAGCACCTAGAAAGTAGCCTTTTCTGTGATAAATTGTTGAATAATTTTGAAAATCGCGAAATTTCGATGGTTCAAAAAAATAATTGTAATTTTAATTTTGGTACTCGAAGTACAGCACCTAGAAAATAGCCTTTTCTGTGATAAATTGTTGAATAATTTTGAAAATCGCGAAATTTCGATGGTTGAAAAAAATAATTTTAATTTTAATTTTGGTACTCGAAGTATAGCACCTAGAAAGTAGCCTTTTCTGTGATAAATTGTTGAATAATTTTGAAAATCGCGAAATTTCGATGGTTCAAAAAGATAATTGTAATTTTAATTTTGGTACTCGAAGTACAGCACCTAGAAAGTAGCCTTTTCTGCGATAAATTGTTAATACTTTTGAAAATCACGAAATTTCGATGGTTGAAAAAAATAATTGTAATTTTAGAATACTTTTGGTACTCGTATCGTTGAAGAATCTTATCAATTATTCATTCTTACCTGAAACTGCTTCTGCTGTGAACGACACATGATCATTTTAATAGTCACCTGAGCGACGGCCGCGCAAAGACACACACTTTTCCCAAGAACGATCGGATCACTTCGGTACTCGTAAATAGCTGTGAGCAACGGCAAGAACAACCCTATCGCACTGGCGAAAGCAGCGAACCATAATGTATTAAAATAGAAGAGTTGAGTTTTCGTTGTCCTAGGCGATGGTGGCCAAGTGCAAGTCAGAAGAACACTGAGCTTCGTGAACGCAATAGCTTTTTCCGGATTCATTCCTTTCCCCATATTTTTCAGAGAATTCTTCTTGCAACCCTTCCACTTTTATATATTCTATTCTTTGTTACAAGGAAACGGAGGGTTGCATACCGTAAGAGGATAGAATAGCTTCATAACCAGAGGGTGAAATAACACAAACACCACTCGAAGGAATATTGCGATCGAAGTACGGTTCGTAACACAAGAAAACTTCTTTCCATAAAATAAAATTAAAACTTAATTATCATTTTCACCAAGGCCTTCGTACACTCTACGAGGAGACAGAGCTTCAGAAAAAGAATAGCAGAAGTTTCACTAAAATTTATCTACAAAGTTAGCACGATTTGTATAAAGAATGCGAGGTGCATGAAGATTTTCACTAGCAATTGTATGCAATTTTCCAGATAGTTTAACCATTGTACACCGTTTCCTTAACCGATGTTATGCGTGTATGATATCTCTTTCGAATCGTGCAGTTGTTTAGTTCGCGCAACACCGAGGGCAAGATAAAATTAATAAGTAACGCGTCAGAAGCTAGCTATGCAATCAACATTCATCAGCTTGTAACTATTTCACTAGTTCGTGAGAATACTGCACGTTCCTCGAATAGAATCTGCGCAACCCTTAATGATTTCTTACCGGATGCCTGTTTCCATTTTCCATGGAGAATCTATACACGGCTGAGTGAAAAGTGTTGGATAGCATATTGCAAACGGTGCGACTAAAGAAAGCCTGTTTCTTTTTCTTGTAAGTGGAGATACTTTCATTTTACTTAAAGGTGTAGTTTAAGGAAAAATTAATTGCACGACGACTCAAGTGGTGGGGATGAATTTATTACTTTCTTAGCAGTTTATAAAATTTGAAAATTACGATTCAATCGTGGTTCTCATTGCCATGAAGTAGGAAGATATGGTAGTCAAAAACTAAAAATTGAAATTTTCATTGAAAAATTATACTGAAATTAATTTCTATGGAAGTTGAATGAAATCTGCTTACGTGGGCGTAGTATTCCAACGAAAGAGCCGGAAGCACACCACCCATTGTAATCAGAAATGGCTTTCTACTTCTCTGCATCATGATTAATATGATGTTCGTCATTTTTCGTGACTTTCCTACCCATTGAACATCGTTCACCGATATCGCGAACCTTAGACTCTGGAAACAGGTACACATCGTGTTTTATTAAAATAGAAATTGCAATGTCAAGCAATTAATAAGGCAGCAAAATGGAATCTAATTAATCTATGCCACTGATTTCTTAGACGTACATTTATATGTATAGTGATGAATGATTAGGCGAGCACTTGCGAGAATGACTTGCACTTACTTTCTGTATTATACCCTCGTGATTACAAAACTGGACTGAAAATTTTGAGAATGCTAACCAAAATTGTAACACACTTCAAAATTGCACTTTAATAGCTTTATTAGGTCGATTCTCAAAACTTTCAGCGTAACTCTGATGTCAGAAAGCAATTGATAATTTTACTGCGAATAAGTGTTTCGGATAAAATGATGATTTGTTTCGTTTGAATTACTTTCTCAGCAAGCTTACACTTTCTTTCAAATCGTCAGCTGGCCAGCAAATAACGTACAGGTGTCCGCATCCTGATATCACCATACAAAGAAACTGACTCGTTACAGCCAACGATTGGTTCTGAATGTTATCATAGAAATAATCATTTAGAATGATCAGAGTGATCTTGCAAACGAAATTATCGTTTCTCTACCACTATACTATTCTAGGAACCGTGCAGAAAGGCCAAACTCACGTAAATCAAGGGGAAAGCTCCGCATATGACAGCGCTTCCCATCGTGATGTTCGTTTTGAATAATAAAGCCCGAACAGCGGTTATAGCATCCTCCACGAATCTAGCCATCGCGCCGTTTGAATAAAAGGAGAGTCATTATTTAAACGCAAGAGGTGCGAAACATCAAAATTCCTTCTTTAATTAAATTATAATCGTGATTCCAGGTATTCGCTAGGAAACAGAGTTACCTTACCCTATTATTTCTTGGTGTTCTTTGACACAGCTTACCAGCAGGTCGTAGCGGCTCACTTGTTTCATTCTCATCCCCAGGATGTCTAGTCTGGCTGCGGTGAAGCAGAATAGGGCAATGATCATGAAGTCGACGCCGATGCAGAGTGCAGTTTGCAGGATGCAATAAGTATGCACAAAGTAAACGATGCAGTACATCGCGATGGGTTCGGTGGAGAATGGGATCCAACCATCAGCTGGCAAATCCTGTCTTGTAAATAATGGCGCCAAACTGAACGAAATTCCAGTCGAAATATACGCGATCGCAATCACCGAGAAGAATCTCTTGTAACGATCCACGTAGATTTGTATAATTTTATTCTCATACTCCCCAGCTGTCTCTAGATACATCCTGATCTTCCTAATTAAAATCTGTATTCGATATAACATTAGGTAGACGAATAATTTTGTACGAATTAAAAATTGTAAACAGAGAAAGCAAATTTAACCTGCAGCTGGATGCAGTATACTTTGCAGAAGACCAGGTCCAAGAATACCTCCAGAAGTGCAGTCAGCTCGGAGATGGTCTTCATCAGGATGACAAAATCGTTTCGATAGTAATAGATACCAAACGCCAGGGATATTATCAACAGGATCACGTTAATCACCACGAACGTCCAGCGAAAGTTACGTAAAATGATTTTCCACTTGCTGCTGTTCGAATCTGCTGGCCAGGTACACGTGAAAGTGCCAGCCAATTCGAGTAGACACAATACTTGATGAAGATTCGCGATCATTTTAACGAATACTCTTTTAGAGACTGGGTATGCTGATCGTTCTGAGCAGAGACAGCCTCCATACTGATGGAAGTTTTATGCAAGACGGCCAAAGAAAATCGATCCTTCCAATCTATTAATCATTCACTAGGATACGATTGAATTTTGCACGCACGGTATCGCACCAGGCTGCGGTATTATTCTTTACACGAAAGAATTATCAGTATTTTGTATTTTTGCGAAAATTATAGGAAACAGTTACCCGAGGGAAGCAAGTAAATTGGTACATGTATTTTTTATACATTGTTGCTTTAGCTGTTGCGGTTTCATCCCTTAACAGTTGAACCGACGTGCAATCATCGTGAACGCTATGCAACTCGAGTGCTACCCATTGATTAGAAAGCAGCAGTTTTTCTTACAGGTAAAAATTATTTTATTTTATTTGAGTACGTAGTTTACTAGGGGGATTAATTATACAGTGACAATGATACAGTTTTATTATTCTAAATGGTAACTTTATTTTATACATTACTGTACTCTGTGATAAAATATTAATATCAATGGCAATGTGTTTAAATCGTTGAAAGCTTTAGCATCTACTTGGAACACATGAAGGAAATTTAACGTTGCTCAATTTTTATTTATTGAACTTAAATTTATGATTCAATCATGGTTCTCATCCCCATAAAATAGGAAGATACAGTAGTCAAAAACTACAAATTTAGCAATAATAATTGCAATTTTCGAAGCCCAAATTAATTCCATTGAGAGTCAAATAAATTCTACTTACTTGCGAGTAATATTCAAACGAAAGGGGCGGAAGTAAACCACCAGCCATCGTAATGAGAAATGGTTTTTGACTCCTACGCATCATGATTAATACACTGTTAGCCATGTTTTGTCGTTTTCCTATCCACTGAATATCGTTCACCGATATCGCAAACCGTAGACTCTGCAAACAGATATCACGTGGCTCTCTATTCCACTTAATTAATTCATTTAATTATCAACCGACTTACGCTTTCTTTCAAATCGTCCGATGGCCAGGAAATAAGATACATGTGTCCACAGCCTGCGAGCAGCATAGAAAGAAACTGCCCCGTTACAGCCACTGATTGCGTCTACATTTTATCGCAAAAATATCAATTTAGAATAACGAAACTTGTCTTACCAATTTTAATTTCAAAAACTCACATAAATTAGAGGGAAGGCTGCACATATGACGATACATGCATTCGTGACGTTCGTTTTAAATAATAAAACCTGAACAGCAGCTTTGGTATCCTCCAAAAATCTACGATAACGCCACTTTTATGTATCAAAATGTTTTTAAATGTAAAAGAATGTTATCTTACCCTATTATTTCTTGGTGTTCTTTAATACAGCTTACCAGCAGCTCGCAGCAATTTACTTGTCCCATCTTCGTTCCTAATATATCTAATCTCGCCGCGGTGTAGCAGAAGAGGATAGCAATCACGTAGTCGAAGCTGAAGCTGAGTGCAGTTTGCAGAATGCAATATACTTGCGCGAAGTAAACGATACAATATATTCCAATGGGCTCGATGGAAAATGGTATCCAACCATCCGCTGGTAGCTCTTGTTTCGAAAATAACGGCATCAAACAGAATAAAATTCCAGTTGAAATGTACGACATCGCTACCATCGAGTAGAATTTCTTGTAACGATCTATGTAACTTTGTATAACTTTGTTCTCATATTTGTTTGTTGTTTCCAGGTGCATCTTCATTCTTCTGATCAAAATCTATAGTCAATGAAAAGTCATTCATAAAAATGCAAACAGAGAAGTTATCATAATTTCGTTCTTTTTAACCCTTTCTAACCCACATTTCTATTCACTAGGTCGAATGTTGCCACAAAGGCGACATTTCACACTCTGAAAAAATACAGAAACTAAAACACATTTGAGTATTCTTAAATATTAATTATTATTCCCTGTTAATAAACTCTAAAATTCCATTGATCAAAATATTTTTCAATTAACAATATATATTTAACACTTCAGTACATGATATCGCTTTACAGAAAAAAAATATATTCGACCCAGTGAAAAGTACACTTAAAAAGATCCTCTACCTCAAAGAGTCAATACATTAAACAAATGCAACCTCCAATTTTGCTCTGTTGATTTTGCACAGCAGTAGGTTCAAGAGCACCTCCACGAGCGAAGTAAATTCGGAGATGGTCTTTATCAGGATGGTAAGGTCGTTTCGATAGTGATAGATGCCAAACGCCAGGGATATCATCAAGAGAACGATGCTGATAACCGTGAACGTCCAACGAATGTCACGTAAAATGATTTTCCACTTGCTAGAATTCGAATCTCCTGGCCAGGTGCACGTGAACGTTCCAAATAATTCGAGCAGACACAGTACTTCGTGAATATTCGCGATCATTATATTAGGTACTGTTCTAGAGCGAAGACAGCTTCTATACTGATGGAAGTGTTCAAGGAAGAACGGACGATGAAAATCGATCCTTCGAATTGATTAATTATTCACCGAAATAGAATTGAATTTCGCACGCATAATATCGCGATTGGTAATATTCTTCTTGCAAAGTGATTACAGGTGTGCTGCGGTGCAACGTTAGATGCAGCGAACATTATAGAAAATAGTTGCCTGCGGAAATAAGTTAATTGGTAGATTTACCTATCTTTTATACATCATTTCTTCAGCTGCGGCGGTTTTCAACCCTTAACAGTGAAGTCGTTGTGTAACCGCCAAAGAAGTTATGCACTTCAATTTACAAATGTACTGCAGCTTTCTTTGCAGGTAAAAATAATTTCTTTCATTTATTTAAGTGTACAGTTTATTGGAGAGATTAATTGTACAATAATCTACGTGATGACTTGATATCTTACTTCGTTTTCCACGTTCAACTGAAATAATGCAATTATTTTAAGAAATTCTAATAATAGACAAATGAAAAGAAACGAAAGTCGATGTTAGATGAACACATTGAAAGCTATCACATTGTTTTGAAGCACATAGTGAATCAGTTTTGATAAAATTATTCAATAATCGAGTTTGGTTGTATAGTGAATCTAAAAGGAAACTTAACGTTGTGCAATTTTTATTAAAAATACAAACTAGTTGATTGTAATTTTGCACGGGATACATACCGGAAAAATTAAGGTTCTATCATGGTTCTCATTGCCATAAAATAGGATGATATGGTAGTCAAAAACTGAAGAACCATCGTAAACAATAATTATAGTAATTTTCAATACGTCAAAATTAATCTCAATGAAATTTACATAAACCTGCTTACCTGCGAGTAATACTCCAATGAAAGTGCTGGAAACAAACCACCCATTGAAACCAGGAATGGTTTCTGACTCCTCTGCATCATAATCAATACGATGTTTGTCATTTTTCGTGACTTTCCTATCCACTGAATATTGTTAACCGACATTGAGAATCGTAGGCTCTGGTAACAGGCATCGTACAGTTCCATGTTCAATGAATCTCGAACAATTTTATTATTTGCAAGCTTACACTTTCTTTCAAATCGTCAGCCGGCCAGGACACAATGTACATTCGCGCACAGACTGATACAAGCATACTCAAAAACTGCCCCGTTACAGCCAACGATTGGTTCTAAAGTTATCAAAAAATATTGATTCACAATAATGATAATTTATTTAAACTTAGTTTAACTTTAGTTAAAATTTAGTTAAACTTACGTAAAGCATCGGAAACGTTGCTGATACGACAGCGATCCCAATCGTAACGTTCATTTTAAATAGCAAAGATTGAACAGCGTCTTCGGTATCTTCCAAAAATCTAATACAAAACACCCATTGCCATTAAAAAATTCAATTCAATTTCTAAAGTGGTTAAGAAAGCTCTACTATAAAACAGCGTTAATTTACCCTATTATCTCTTGATGTTCTTTGATACAGTTAACCAGCAGCTCGCGGCAGTTTACTTGTTTTAACTTCGAGCCTAATATATCCAGTCTGGCAGCGGTGAAACAGAAGAGAGTAACGACCATGATGTCGACGACGAAGATGAGTGCTGCCTGCCAGATGCAATAAGCTTCTACGAAGTAAACTATGCAATATATTCCAAAGGACTCGGTGGAGAATGGGATCCAACCATCCGCTGGTAGATTTTGGCCCAAGAATAATGGCGCCAATGTGAAGAAAATTCCAGTTGCAATGTAAGCTACTACGATCACTGAGTAAAATTCTTTGTAACGATCCAGGTAGCTTTGTACAACATGATTTTCGTACTCGCTTGCCGTCTCCAAATACTTCCTGATTCTTTGAATCAAAATCTGTCTTGAACAAAACGTTATGTAGATATTTAATGTAATTTTAGATTTCTTATATACTAGACTATGATTACCTGTAGTTGGGTGCTGTTCATTTTGCAGAGGACCAGGTCACAGAATACATCCAGGGTTGCACTGACCTCGGACATGGTTTTCATTAGGAGGAGGAAATCTCTTCGATGGTGATAGACACCCAACGCTAAGGATATTAATAAGACGACCACATTGATCAACGCGAAGATCCAACGAAAATTACGTAAAACATTTGTCCACTTGCTGGTGCTCGAATCTTCCGGCCAGGTACACGTCAACTTTCCTGCCAATTCGAGTAGATCGAACACTTTGTGAAAAGTCAGGATCATCTTGTTGGATATTCTTTTAGAATCGAGAGGTACTGATCGTTCTGAGCGCAGACAGCTTCTATACTGATGGAAGTTTTTCGCACAAGGCCTATGGAAATCGACCCTTCAAATTTATTAATCATTCATTACGATGCGATCGAGTTTTACACGCACAGTATCATTCTAGTTTACCATATTATTCTTTGTATTTACTTCGAGTGTTGTGTTGCAATGTTAGCTGTGGGTAATAACTAAATTACAGTATTATTGTTGCTTTAACTGCTACGCTTTTCTTTCATCAGAAGTTGAATTGTGAATTCATGTACTGTTCATTATCAAATCATTCGTAAATGAAGGGAAGTAGGGTATCTACATCGAAACTAATATGTAGGTAGCTGTTCCTTTTGATGAATGATATATTATGAAATCTTATTACTCTTCTGATATAGACGAACTGTAACATATCGTCTTAAGACTGTGCTGTATTATGGAGGTGTGTAACTTACCATCGAACTCGCAACTACATCGCCAAAGGCCTAAATCTAGCAGCTGCGAATCGCGAAAGAAAAGAGACCTGAATATCGATGGTCATACCAGATGACACCTGAAAGTTAATCGACCATTGATGGAAAAATATGGAGCACTTCAATGGCTGATGTTTCATCAAGAATGGATATATCGCCTGCGTCGGAAACGTTTGCGGTGAGTACAATGGACCACTTATAAGAAACACTATGGTGAGAAAGCACCACAGTGTGTACCATGGTAGTATTTGTATCTGTCGTGGTAACATTGTAGACGAATTCTTTCAACTCTTGTCGCGGTTTGCAAAAATTTTCCATGGCAAAGTAGCGAGCTTAAAAGTATCCTCTTCCTTGTCGTTCGAAATTTTACAATCTTCTAACTGTAGAACATTTCTTAGCATTGTTATAGAAGATGGAATGAAAGTACATTTGGTATGATAGGGTTAGAAGGTGTAGGATAACGTAGTGCAAAGACTGCAACTAAAGAATCAAGGAAAGACTGTGTTCCTTGCAAGTGAAATTAATTTCGTTTCATTTGAGGGTGCAATTTACACTTTTTAATGTTACTGTTATTATAATTGTTTGACAAACTTGTATTTACTTCATGCACTTTGATAAATAGATTAAGTTATTATATAATTTTCCCAATTTCATGTCAGAGTTATTTATTTAGTGCTCGTAATTACTTTTCGCAGTTATTTAATTGACTTAAATTCTCCTCTAATTTCAGTTATTCACTGTATTTAACTTCTTTTCTCAGTTATTTACACATATATACAAAATTCAATAATCATTTGATCTTTAATAAGTCAAAATCAATCCCTGTATTTCTGATATCACTGCATCCCTTATATCCCCACATCCTATACATCTCTACATTCAGTGCGCGTAACAATGTTGCAAAACCAGAAATTCAAAGTATCTGGCTGCGTAACAATATTGTAGAACGCATAACCTGGGGTCGCAGACGTCCGGAGAGGGGGCTCCGGGTGTTATTGCGCGCGATCCCGAGGAAAACCCGGCAGCGGGGATGACCTCCGCTGTTGGTCAAGAAGATTGGCTCTAAGGGGGGTTCGACTTTAGATCTCCCCTGGAAAAAACGCCAAGCACGCAAGACGGGGGAGGCTCCGGCGTTATACTTAACTGCCCAGAGCTTCCCTACAACGTCAGTGAAGGTCACCGTGGTGGTTTTAGTGGGTAAAAATCCCACACTACCCGTCCTCCCTCCCCCAAGGGTGTGACGGGTGTCTTGTAGAAGATTTCCACCACGTAAAAAAAAAAAAAAAAAAAAAAAATGCCCCCACCGATTTCAGTAAAGGTAGCTGGCTGTGACACCGTTGACAATCGTTCGACCGACAGCAAAGTGAAACCTCTCAGTATTATAGCGACTGCCGAGAGGTGAGGATCTACCTGTTAAACATACATATACCCTTATTTTATCTTCTGCGTTCAATTAATTTGTTGTGTTTATCTTCTTACCTTATTGAATAAACTCATTAGAAGGAAGAACGTGTTAATTTTATTATTCCTGTGTGCATCCTTTACATCCCTGCACCCCTTACACCCAGCATTCCTTACATCACTATATCCTTTACATCTCTGCATTCTTCACATCCCTGTTTTCTTTATATACCTGCATCCGTTATATCTGTGCAATCCTTACATCCCTGCATCCCTTACATTCCTGCATTCCTTTTTGCGGATTTGTTTCCCTTTTTTATCAGTACCATTGTTTAAAAGATATAGTTTAAATTTTGGTACAAATTTAGTTCCTTTTTTGCCACCAGATGGCGCTGGCTCGACATCGAAAATTTAGTTCGCATTTTTGCCACCAGAGGGCCAAAATTCTTGCATGATTTAGTTCCTTTTTTCCCCCCAGAGGGCGCTGACTCGACGTCGAAACAGCGCCCTCTGGCGGCAAAAAGGGGAACTAAATTTGATTTGAAAAAAATGAGACTCACGAGACTTTACTTACCTTTACTTACCTTTACTTACCTGTACTCGAACCAGTGTATTTATAATATATTTATTATAAGGGTTGCAGTGATATACGGGATGCATGGATGTAAAGGATGCAGAGTTGTAAGGGATGTGGAGGTGTAAAGGATGCAGGAATGTAAGACATACGAGGATGTAGGAGATACAGGGACGTAAGTGATGTAGACATGTTAAGAATGCAAGGATACAAAGAATTCAAGGATGTAAGAGATGCAGAGATATAAGGAATTCAGGGATGTAAGGGATGCAGAGATGTGAGAGATGCAAGGATGTAAGGGATACGTAAATACAGTGATTTAGTGGTAGTCCCCGCGAGGCTCATAAAGAGAATGAAGAAATAAATATCTGCCATGGGAGGCCGTGGTCCATAATGAGGCGTAGGATAATAAATAGTTAGGAAGTGTGAGTTTTGGCCCATGAAGAAGAGTAAAATAATTAATAACTGAAGGGGGTGGCTTTGGTCTATAAAGAGGAATAAAATTATATAAACAACTGGAAAAAGTGAAATAAAAGGGGTAAACTGAAAGCAAAGAAAATAAATAAAGTAAATTAAATAAACTCCTAAAAGAAATTAGAGGACGATTATTATACATGTTGTGCCCTCTTTATACGGACCTGATTTCATCCAGTGGTGTCAGGGATCCCGCTGCGCCAATGACGCGCCGGTGACAGCCTTTGCATACCATGACAGTCACATGGGTCCCTGATACCCCAAGATGATATTAGGTCGGTGCGCGGAGGTAATCTCCGGGGTCCCCGACACCTCAAGATACTATCAGGTCTGAATGCAGAGAGCGCCACCGGTGCATCGGGATCCCTGACATCCCAGATGCCATAATGTCGGTATGCAAACTCAGGTTTTGACATCGACAAATTACGTGACAATTATACCGACGGTAGGTAATACCGACAAGTGAAATATAAAAACAAATAGCAAAATATAAGACCTAAAAAGCAAACAAATCGCGAGATAGTAATTGTAAGATAGTAATGGATATGACCTATAATAGTGAAAGATTAGACCTAGAAAGAGTATAAAACATTGAAAGAAGGAAATATAAGAATATACCGGTGACTCTGTCTGCATACCGAATATCATCCCGGGGTATTAGGGACCCCGAAGATAAAATGTGCGACCCATAGACTTTCTATAGAAAAATTGAAATCTCTGTAACTTTTGACTGCAACCACTTAGCCACACAAACGCAACGGATTTGAGATAGTCTCGGCGAGACTTTTCTAACGACGAGCGGAAATGCAATGTGCTACCAGTAGATGGCGGGAACAGAACCTTTTTCAAATTGCAATCGAAGTAAAATGATTATTTAGTATATATCTACTTACCTTTCGCTGATATTATACCGACGATCGAAACTACAGCCTATTATCATCAGATAATAAATCAGGAATTCATGTTTTCATATATAATATTTTATTTATTTAAAATGTAATATTTCTTAGTGGACGATCGATAAACTGGGTTGACGGAGGCAAGTTTCAACCTTGGAGGGCACATTACATGTTCCAATAAATATAAAGAATTATAACACTCAACGACACCCAGTTCCCGTGCTATTCCACGGAGTCGAATGAAATTACACTTTGAAACTGTACGTATATATGCGAACCGGGTGGAAAAAAGTTGCGGCAGCTAGATCGTGAAGCGAGTTCCTTCGAAATATTCCTGCGAGCTTTCCGCGAGGCATAAAACCTCCGCATTGTCATGCCTCGAAGAAACGTTTCTAATTTGCAATGCGATGAGAAAGGGAATACCAGAGTTCCGACGATAAGCCTTCCTCGATCATAATCCGCGGAAGTTCGAGGCCGCATTAAACTTTATATTACCATTTCAACCCCGTCAAAATTTTATGTACACTGGTTTACATTATCGCGCCTGCTTCCTCCAGGAAAGACGCGATTTTACGATCGACATTTCGTCATGTTCAAAATCGCAAAATCTTTTTTTTCGACACGTTTCATAAACGAATGAATCTTTTCAACTTCGTGTTACACGCAAACGAGATTTCTTATTCTTGATACTGTCATCTAGGTATTCAATTCACACTTCTGATGATATCAAAGTATCAAAAATTAACAATCCTGACGTATCAGGGGAAGGCTTAAAATTGGATTAAAATGGCAATATAAAAACATCATCGATATTCAATATTCTCTAATTCCTTCTTTTAATTTATTTTTCGGTAAATAAACGAGGTCGACGTTTTCATTATCCGACTCGATTTAGTTGACAGAGAGAATTATTATTCAATAGGGTGCGTTAACAAACACGGGGACCGGCAGGCTGCCGTTATCCAAACCGACGCGACGTTCTCCATTTCCCTGAAATTATCGGCTCGCTGCAACGAACGAAAACGCAGCCTCCATCGGCTCGCTGCAATCCCGTTATCAAGTCCTCACGAACGCGAACTTCAAACAGTGATCATTCGCAGGCTTTGAAAGTTTATTTCAACCTACCTATCTCGCCATTCGACGATCGCT